CCTTTTCGCACCACCCACGCCAGCTCACCACCACCTACACCCCCATACAAAAAAAAACCACAGGCGCTGCACGGCGACATGAGCCAGGCGGAGCGCGAAAAGGTTCTGCGCGCCTTCCGCCGCGGCGGCATCTCCGTGCTGGTGGCCACCGACGTGGCGGCGCGCGGGCTGGACATCCCCGACGTGGACCTGGTGGTACACTATGAGCTGCCCCAGGATGCGGAGTCCTTCCTGCACCGCTCAGGGCGCACGGGGCGCGCCGGGAAGGACGGCGTGGCCATCGCCATGTTCACGCGGCGCGAGGCGGGGTGGATGAAGCGCATCCTGCGCGAGACGGGGACGGCGGGGGTCACGCTGATCACCGCGCCCACCGCGGTGCAGGTGATGGAGGCGGCGGCGCGCCAGGTCATGACGCGCCTGGACGGCGTGGAGGAGGAGGTGCGCGCCTTCTTCCGGCCCGTGGCGCGGCGCATCCTGGCCTCGCGCGAGCCCGCCGAGGCGCTGGAGGCGGCGCTGGCCGCGCTGTCGGGCATCAAGGAGGTGCCCGAGCCGCGCAGCCTGCTGACGCAGGAGGAGGGCCTGGTCACGCTGCGCCTCAGCGGCCGGCGTGGCCGCATCTCCCGCCCCGCCCAGGTCTCGGCCGTGGTCGGTGGCCTGGCCGACGCCGCCGCGCCCGGTGGCGCGCGCGTCGCCCTGGGCCGCATCCGCATGCTGCCAGCGCTGAGCGCGGAGGAGCGCGAGGAGGGCGCCGCCTTTGACGTCCCCGCCGCCGCCGCGCCGGCGCTGCTGGCCGCGGCCGAGGCCTCCACCGACCTGGCGGGCCAGGGGCTGACGCTGGACATGCCGGACACCCTGCCCCCGGAGGAGGACCTGTATGGCCGCGACAGCTCGCCCTACGCAGGCAGCCGCGGGCCGCCCAGGGGTGGCCGGTCGGGAGGCAACGCGCGCTACAGCAGCGACAACAGGAGGGGCGGGTACGGCGGCGGCGGCGGTTCGGGTGGCTACTCCAACGACCGCCGCTCATCCAGCGGCAGCGGCGGCGGGTACGGGCGCCGCCCTGCGTCCGGCGGCTCCGGGTCGGGCTACCGCAGCGGCGGCGATCGCTGGAGCGGCAACGGCGGGAACAAGTGGGAGGGCGGCGGTGGCGACCGTAACAGGCGGCCCAGCTCGGGCGGCGCGCGCCGGTCGTCCTCTTCCTGGGGAGACGCCCAGAAGTTTGGGGGCGATTGGTGAGGCGGACTGTGAGGTGCTCAGGAGGTGATCCGGGCTCCGACCCCTGTGTGGCAGTGACCCTGACGCCCGAGCGCCGCACGCTGCCGGCAGACCAGAGCGCTTGCCTGCCCCGCGCCATGCTCATGCCCGGCCATGGTCGGCTGTGCCGCCGTCAGCCTGGCCCCTTGCGCCCGGAGACCCGGTATTTTGCAGAGGGCTGCCTGGCATGCCAATACCCCTCCCTCCATTATTCTTGTGGCGAAACTCAGGGATGCTCTGGCCTCGGCCGAGCGCCAGCCTCCCCCGCAACGAGGGGGGGGCACCCAAGAACAAGCTTAGTTTTGCGACGGCATGGACCCCAAATGTATGCTTTATGTAATCTACACCTATTCCAGACAGGCTGCTGAAGATCTCGGGGAGAAGGGAAGGACGGGAAGCATGTTGCATGTACTGAGCGAGGGTGTGCAATGGTGGATGGGTCACCCGCTGCAGTGGGCAGAAGCGGCCCGCCGCCGCCCTGCCCCCTCACCCCTATCTGCATCCCACGCCGAGGAAAAATTATGTGTGCTTTGACGTCATCCCACGCCGCGCGCCGAATGCGTGGCCTGCACCCACCACCCCCCGCTCCCTATCCTTTATCGATACCAAATTCCCATACTTACTCCTCGCATGCATATGGGAGGGTGTGCTGCGGCTTCCTTGTAACTCTCGACGCTCGCGGGCCACAGCGCCCGAGGTGCCCCCAGGACCCTCCCGGTCCGTCCCTCGGGCACCCGCCTTGTCATTCCCGATTCCTCCCTCGCACCACGCACTCGTTTCCGACATGTGCAGCGACACGGTGCCCGCTCCGGCAGGCTCCAATGGGCCTCATCTCAGCATGGATGACCTCGTCCGCACCCTGAGCAAGGGGTGCAAGCCACGCTCCGCCTGGAGGTGTGACCCGGCGGTCTCACCCCGCTCTGCTCTGCCCCGCCGCGACTCCTCCATCAGACTGAGACCCAGTTCCCCCTTTTACTCCCAGGATCGGCACGGAGCACGAGAAGCTGGGGTATTCCAAGGCCCCACCCCACGCCCGCCCCACCCACGACCAGATCTCGGATTTGCTCACCCACATCCACTCCTCCAACGGCTGGGAGTACATCATGGAGGGCAAGGCAAAGATCGGGCTGGCCCATGACGGCCAGACCGTGACCCTGGAGCCGGGCGGCCAAACGGAGCTGAGCGGCGCGCCTCTCCCCGATCTGCACGCTGTGGCCCGCGAGACGCGAGAGCACCTGCTGGAGGTGCGATGTGTAAATGTGTGGGGGGGGGGAGGGGGCTGGAAGATTTTTGGTGGTCTGAAGGGTCGTGGCGGCACACGTGCGGCATGCTGACCCCGCCGTCGATGCCCCCCTCCGTGCTTGCAGGTGCGGAAAGCTTGCGATGCGGTGGGCATCGACTACATGAACATCGGCTTCGACCCCAAGTGGGACTTTGAGGACGTGCCGCGCATGCCCAAGACACGGTGCGGGGTTTTAGTCATGGTCTTTTTTCAGAATGGTAGGAGGGGGTCGGGGGAGATTGGAACACGGGATCGCCCACAGGAGTGCGGCGAATGGGGGAAGCAGGGCCCTGCCTATCTGAGCTGGCGGCCAGGCCCAGCTGCGGTTGTGGATGTTGGGGGGGCAGCCTTTCCTACTAGCTCACTGTGGGTGGTACACGCGTGGCACTCGTCATCACGGACCCCCCTCCCCCCAACCCCCCCAACCCACACTTTCCACCCCCGCCCAGGTACCGCTACATGCGCGAGTACATGCCCAAGGTGGGCACGTTGGGGCACGACATGATGTTCCGGTCCTGCACCATCCAGGTGAACCTGGACTTTGAGTCGGAGGAGGATATGGTGCAGAAGTTCCGGATCGGGCTGGCCCTGCAGAACGTGGCGGGCGCGCTGTTCGCAAACTCCCCCTTCCGCAACGGCGCGCCCTCCGGATACAAGTCTTGGCGCCTGCACGTCTGGACCGACGTGGACCCGCACCGCTGCGGCCGCCTGCCCTTCGTGTTTGACCCCGGCTTCTCCTTCGCCGCCTACGCGGAGTGGGCGCTGGACGTGCCCATGTACTTCCTGTACCGCGACGGCCAGTACACCGACGTGGGCGGGCAGCCCTTCCGCGCCTTCTTCGAGGGCCGGCTGGAGGGGCACCCGGGCCTCTTCCCCACCGCCGCCGACTGGGACCTGCACCTGACCACCGTGTTCCCGGACGTGCGGTTGAAGCAGTTCCTGGAGATGCGCGGCGCCGACGGCGGCTCCTGGGAGTTCATCACCGCGCTGCCCGCGCTGTGGGTGGGCCTGCTGTACGACGCGGGGGCGCAGGCGCAGGCCGCCGCCCTGGTCGCAGACTGGACGCCCGCCGAGCTGGAAGCGCTGCAGGCCGACGTGCCGCGCCTGGCGCTGCAGGCCCCCTTCCGCGACGGGACGGTGCAAGACGTCGCGCTGCGCATGCTGAACATCGCGCGGCGGGGCTTGGAGGCGCGCGGTCTGGGCGAGGAGCGCTACCTCGACGTCCTGGACGCGGTGGCGGGTGCGTAGTGTGGGGGCTGCTTTGTTCAATTTTTGGATAGAAAGGGGGGGGGGAGGTCCTGAGGCCCCTGTGCCGGCATGAAGAGGGGAATGGGCGCCCTTCGGTAAATGTAGCAACCTGGCCGTGGTCCTCCGCGGACCCATCCAAAAAGGCCAACACGAGTCTCATCCCCCCTCTTCATGCACGTGCAGAGAGCGGCGTCACGCGGGCCGACCGGCTGCTGCAGCTGTACGACTCGGAGTGGAGCAGGTCGATTGAGCCCCTGTACACCCCGGAGCACCGGGTAGACAATGGCCTCTGTTGAGGCAGGGTCTCCGCTGCCTGGGGCCCCAGGCCGTATGTATGGCCGGGGTGCCCAGGACAGCAGAATCTGCGACGCAAGCATGGCACTCTGGCTTCGCCAGTTCAGAGGCAGCCTGCTGCTGCTACTTCGATGTCTGGGCAGGGGCAGCGCTTGGACGTGCGTGCCGAGACCTGCAAGCGTCCTAACCCTCAACACTGCCATGCATGAGGCCACGCAGCGCGAGTGGGTCGAATGAATTCCGGGGAGTCGGCTCTGGGAGGGGCATGAGGGGGTCGAGTGGACCTGCTCCGACCCTTGACCGGACCAGGTCCGGTCGGGGCCGCTGCTGGACCACGGCTTCTGGGCAGCCTCCCGTGGCGGAGTATGAGGCGTGTGCCGCATGATCATGCACTGCACACTGATATTGTAAGGCACAAAGTGTCGCATTATACTCTCCGATAAATAAGAGCATCCGTCGATCTCGCAATGGGCAGTCTGCGGTACCTGGTTGCCATCACCGCGTTCCTTGTTGTTCCTGCCACATCCGTGCTCCTTGGCATCACCCTGCCCGCTGGATTCGCGGTAACGCCATACTACGATGCCGGTGTCCCAGGGGCCCGCAGCCTCACGCTGAGCACGGCGCCACCGCCGGCGGGGCAGGGACCCATCGTCTACGTGGCTAACAACAAGGATGGCAAGGTACGTTTGGGGCCCCGATCGCTTGCATGACAGGCATGGGACTGTGTCACAATGTACTTCACTCCATGACATGACAGATCTATGCGCTCCTGGACGACGACAATGACGGATTCGCCGAGCGCCTGGTCACCCTGGCCTCGGGTCTGACAACCAGCAATGGAGTGGCCTGGCACGACGGGGACCTGTACGTCTCCGAGCTCGAGCGCCTGTGGCGCTTCCCTGGTATCGACGCTGTGGCTCGCCGCGGCTCGGGAGAGTACCCCGCGGACGAGGCAGAGCTGCTCATCGACTCCCTGCCCAGCGCCAGCCAGCATGGCGCCAAGTACATTGCCGTCTCCCCTGCCGGCCAGCTGTACATGAATATCGGGGCGCCCTGCAACGTCTGTGAGCCGGGGAGCTACCAGAAGAATGCCTCCACTCCCGTCTTCCAGTACGGCAGCATCGTGAGGTTCAACCTCAAAGACTGGACCACCCTCGAGACGGTGGCGTACGGCACCAGGAACAGCGTGGGCTTCGACTGGCACCCGGAGACGGGAGACTTTTACTTCACGGACAACGGCCGCGACGATGTGGGGGGCAGCAACGCGACAGTCACCGACGCCAGCCCGGACGACGAGCTGAATGTGGTCAGGGCGGCGGGCGGGTTCTATGGGTTCCCCTACTGCCACACCGGGGCCCGGGGCGGCATCACAGAGGCGCCCTGCGCCCGGCTGTCTGGCATGGGGACGCCGGTCGTCGACCCCCAGACCAATGCCGGCCAAAAGACTCTGAGCTGCGACGGTGAGGGATGCATCCAGTTGGGGGAAATGCACGGTGCCGCGCCGGCGTGGGGTTTGTGGATGCGATTGATGTGTGAGCAGCCTCTGGGCGCATGACAACAAGATGCCTCACAATCTTGTACCCCATGCCACCTGGTTCCAACCGTGTTTGTAGCACACCGTCCCCTCATTGCCTCCCTCGCCCCTCCATGCAGCGAGCGAGGGTGGCTACATCCCAGCGGTGCAGGCGCTGGGACCACACATGGCCGCGCTGGGCATCACATTCTACAGGTGTGCGAGGATCAGTGTGTCGTTGTTCTCGTGTTCCTGGGAACACACGCCGGCGGCTCGGTGGGGCGCCTCGCAGGGGCAGGGGGCATGCTGCCCAGGGGGGGTATTACCTTGCAAATGTGATCTGGCCAGACCCAGAATCACACTCAGTCCCCCCCCCTACTCCCATCCTTTGCACTCCACAGGCGCAATGCGAGCGCGCCCTACGCGTTCCCGGAGGAGTTTGACCGTGCCGCCTTCATAGCCCAGCGCGGATCCTGGAACAGGTGGGCAGGCTGGGTTGGGCTTGGGCCTCTGGTGCTGATTCTCCCTCAGAGCAGGGCCCCTCAGCATGGATAGGCAGGGCCAGCTTCATGATGGGGAATCATGCACCCGCCACTCTGCAGGCGGACCCTGGCCGGGTACCGCGTGGTGACCGTGGCGCTGCGCGGCGACGGCACGGCAGAGGGCGTGCGCCCCTTTATGTCGGGGCTGCTGGAGGGGGACACAGGCCTGCCCGCCTGCCCCGCCACGCCCAAGTCCAACCAGGCTGCTGTGCGAGGTGGGGGCCGCGTGTGGGTGTGGCGGGGTTGGAGGTTCTGCATGGGGCGCCGGCGGAAAGGGGAGCGGGAGAGGGGGCGATGGTGCGTGTATTGAGAAAGGCATCGGTGCGCGTATTAAGAAAGACATCGGTGTGCGTGGCCATTCATGTGTAGTGACGCGCCTGTGCTGGTGGGGACGCTGGGGGAGTTGTGAGGGTGAGACGCTGCCTGGCCGATTGCGGCACCCAGGCCCCTCGTTGCCCAGCACACACACACACACACACACCCAAGCGCGCAGGCCGGCCCGTGGACGTGCTCCAGCTTCCAGACGGCTCCCTCCTGGTCTCGGACGACACCGGCAACGCGGTGTACAAGGTGGCCTACCAGGGGCGCATCCCCGTCGTGGGCCTGGCCGGCTGACCGGCTCGGCACAGGGATATCAAAGCCGAGCTGTGTGACGTGTTTCCTTGACGAGCCGCGTGCCCCGGCTTGGACCCGTGTGGCGCCGAGCCAGCACGACCACCCTGCACTTTCCTGTCTGCCGGCTTTCTGGCACCTGTGAATGGCGGGCGCGCCTTCTGTACCTCTACCCAGACAACCCCACCTTCCTTGGGGTCATGTCAGCACCTATGATTCCCCGGCTCTGTTCCCCGGCTCTGTACCTGTCCCTTTCCTGCCTTCCCTCGTGCCCCTCCTCCGCAGGATGACCGCTGCTGCAGCGACAGCAGCGGGCGGCGCCTGCGATTTTGAACGAGCATGTGGTGCTGGGCCTTGTAACATCAGGCCCGTGCGCAGTGCAGGGCAGCAGCTGGGTTGTCAGGCCTCGTCGCCGGTCATGGAGGTGGTGCCTTCGAACACCAGCTCCGCAGGGCCGGTCATGTAGATGCGGTTGTCCGCCTGGCGCCACTCAATCTCCAGCGGACCGCCAGGTAGGTCCACGCGGCAGGAGCGGTCGAGCCGGCCCTCCAGCACCCCCGCCACCACCGTGGCGCAGGCCCCCGTGCCGCAGGCCAGCGTGATGCCAGCGCCGCGCTCCCAGACCAGCATGCGCACGTGGGAGGGCGACAGGATCTCCACGAACTCTGAGAGGAAGGGGGGGGGGGGAGGGGGGGGGGGGCAATGTTGGTAGGACCTGATGTTGGGACCGAAATGGTAGGGGGCGTATGTCCACATCACATGAAGGGCCCCCACACTCCTCACCGGTGTTTGTTCGGGCGGGGAAGACGGGGTTGTGCTCGAAGAGGGGTCCCACCCTTTGTAGGTCGATGCTGTCCGTCTGCGGAGATGGGAGCAGTGTTTTTGCGTGATGTTTACTTGAACAGGGAAAACTGTATGCAGCAAGTGGGGAAAAAAAGTGGGGACCTGGGGGAATCGAACCCCCGACCTCTCGCAAGCTCGCACAAGGCGCAGCCCGAAACCCGTGGATCACGGGTGGTGCTTCTCCCGAAGCGAGAATCATACCACTAGACCAAGATCCCGAAGCCAGTGGTGAAAAACGAATTGACGACGGTATATACAGGCGAAATTTTTGTGGTCCTTTCAGGTTGGGGAGCGGCGAGCGTACACGCACCCGATCCCTGTCATACATCTCATCCTTCATAATTCCTACCTGTATGAGCGTCCCGTCTTGGTAGCCAAAGGTGATCGCGTGCGGGTTGCCCATGCTCACGCAGGTGAAGAACCACTCCTTGCCGTCCACCGTCAGGCACTGCTTTACCACCGCGCCCTCCTGCCCAGGTTTGTAAGGGGGAAGCGTAGGGCTTGAGTGATGCATCGTATTTTCCTAGCCCAGCAAGGGCTCCCTGGCTGCATGCTGGTCCCAGGAGGCTGACGAAGGCAGGCCTGGTCGGTCGATCGGCAGCTGCAGCGCCGTGGCACCAAAAATCCTATCTCCTGGCCATCCCTACCAGTCGAACCCAAATTCTACGCTCCCATCATCAACCCCGCCCCACCCCCCCCCCTTCCTCCCAAACTCGCTCACACCGTCCAGATCCTCTCCTCACCGGGGTGGTGGGCTGCAGGGTGGTGGGGATGGCGTTGGCCTCCAGGATGGGCTCTCCCATATCCACCCGCACCCTTCCCCCCGGCAGCAGCTCAGGCTGGATCAGGCCCGCCAGGGTGTCCACCCGGTATCGCCTTGGCGCATCCGCGTCCAGCTCGGCCACGAAGCGGGCCAAGCAGCGGATGCCGTTGCCGCACATCTCCGGCTCGCTGCCGTCGGAGTTGTAGATGCGCATGGCGTAGTCGGAGTCGGGGGCCTGGGGCGGCAGGGCGAAAATGACGCCGTCTGCACCCACGCCAAAATGCCGGTCGCAGGCCTTGGCCGCCTGGGAGGGGGTGACCAGGGGCGTGGCCGAGTGGCGGTTGTCCACCTGCAATTATGAGGGGAGGTGGAGGGCCAGGCGCTTGTGTTTGGGTGGCAGGCTGACGGCATCAGGAGGGGAGGGGGGAGCCCCTCAGACAGCATCCAAGGCAACCTGGCCCCCATATGATGGAATGTTATGCGCCCAAGAACATGTGAAATCCCAGTCCTGTCACAAGGAACCTGTCTCCAAGGTCCTCACCAGGATGAAATCGTTGCCCAGGCCCTGATACTTGGCGAAGCGCAGGGTGGTCGCCGGGGCTGCCACGGCAGGGGCAGCAGTGCAGCGCGGCCGACACACACGCATGACGCGGGAGGCAGGGCGAGCTGAGAGATGGAAGCGGCTCGGTCCCCCAGAGCAGTGTGCGGAGTGGGTCAGCCCCGACATGGCGCCCCTGTCCCGAGCAGTCAGTGTCTTCCCGGGAGAAGCACCAGAGATGATATAATTGAATGGTGCCCTTGCATAGGCTGGCGGAACATTGCATGGCATAGGGGATTTGGGCAGCCATGCACATGCGCGCACGTGCGAATTTCGGTCGCAGCGGGCAGCTCCTCCTCCCTCGCCACCCCTCAACAGCCCTCGCCCCTGGTTCCAGGCGACTTTGAGTGAACAGATACTCTCGATATGACTAACAGGGAAAGCTGGGCGGATGCAGTGGACGATGAGGAGGTTGAGGGACCCTCAACGCTGCACTCTGACAGTGCAGGCAGGCCCAGATACGAGACGAGAGAGGGATGGGACGAGTCTGCGGACGTGAAGCGGGGAGTCAGCCGTCAGCGACTGGATCTGACTCATGGATTCCATCGCGAGATCGTGAGTGGATGCGGGATCCTGCGGGCAGGGGGTGTCTGCGCAAGTGTGCCCAACGGCGCCCGGCGTGTCGGTGCCCATCTATTGCAGCGACTGGTGCCCACTCACCTCGCAATCCAGGTCAAGAACCAGAAGCTGCGTAGCCAGTACGAGCAAGAGTGTCGCGAGGGCATGGCAAAGGCCAGCGACTACCAAAAAAGGTGGAGACGCTCCCCCGTCGAGTCCCGCTCAACCTCCCGACAGTGCGTGGGGGCACGGGAGGGGGCCCGAGTGTGACCATCACAAGTGTGCAATAGCCAGGCCTTGCTTGGGATCCGTACTCGCATGCCGCATCCAGCGGCCTTGCATCATCATGGACCCACTCCCCTCGCAGGCTGGAGTCAGTGGCGCCTCCTCAAGATGTCGAGAACGTCACAACGGCCCCCCGGCACCGCCCAGAGACACGCGTGCGGGAGGGATTCGCAGCGTATCGCCCGCCGCCGGCTTTGGGGTCCCAGCCCAAGCTGGACCTGGACCGAAACGGGAAGGTATGGCGGGTGTACCTGCTCGTGGGGGTTGAAGAGCATGTTGAAGTGAATGCAGTGCAAACAGTAAACCTTGCTCACTGTGCATCTCACCCTGGGAGTCTGCCCCTGCCCAGCGATTCTCACGTTCCCTCTTCCGCACCCGTCACAGGCTGAGCGGGCTCTGGACGATCAGCGCCGCCCCCCTGCACAACCCCATCGGGGACAGGCCGTGCGGGAGGAGGCAAGGGACGCGCAGTCCACCCGGCCCCCCCCACGACCGAGCCCACAGGCCGTCAGAGGAGAGGGCGGGGGGAGCGTGATCGCAGGCGGGATGCTGCGGGAGGGGATGAGCACCTCGAGGCCCGACCTGTGCCCCGGGCGAGACCCCGCCCGGAGCCCCGGCCGCAGCATGCCGAGCGGCCTGGGGAGGCAGCGGGCGGGGTCGCCAAGGCCCGCGAGCGTCGCAGCGTGCATGACAGGCTCGGCCCGCCGCAGCCCCAGCACTCGCCGGTGGGGCGGCGGGGCGGGCCGGCGCCCGCGGACCCGCCCTCGCGGGTCCTGGTGGTCCCCCGCCCCAAGGCCCCGGCCCAGCAGGCGAGCGCGTCTGCCCAGGACGTGCCCGAGCAGGAGTCGAGCGCGGGGGGGGGGGGCATGGACGCGGCCCCCGCCGAGCCCGGTGCTGAGGCCAAGCCACGGAGGTCGCGGCGGGGGGGCCGCAAGCGCCACCCTCGGCGGCAGGAGGGCGGCGAGGCCGCTGCGCACGAGCGCGGCGCGGCGGGAGGGCATGGCGATGAGGGGGCAGCAGAGGCCCAGACCGACGAGACCCTGGCAAGTCATGCCGTGGCGGATGTCGGGTCGGAGGTCACAGACTCCCCCGGGTCAGCCGAGGAGTGGCTGGGGGGCAGCGCTGCGGCGGCATCCGGCTCGGAGGTCGGCGCGGCAGTGTCTGGGCCGCCGCCTGGGGTCGGTGCGCCGCCACCCGAGTTCAAGGACGATGCGGCGGCCGCCGTGCCGGCGGGGGAGGGTGCGGGGCCGGCGCCGGCCAGCCCGCGGAGCGCGGAGGCTGGCGGCGCCGCCGCCCCCGCAGCCGTGCAGCCGCGGGACCCGAGCCAGGAGCGGGGCGAAGCCGCAGACCTGGGCGCTGCGTCGGCCCTGCCTGGGCTCCAGGGCGTCATCGACGGCACCAAGCTGATCGATCTGAAGGCCGACGAGGTGAAGGGGCAGGGGAATGGGTGGGTTTCAGGGTGTGGTACCTCATACTACGATGGCAAGCCATGCCCACCGCCGGTACCGATGCTGAGGTAGTGGGGCGCCGACGACATCAGCTGTCCTCGGTCTCACCTTTCGCCACACCCGCCCCGTCCCTCGCTGCAGGCCAAGGCGGGCGGGGACGGCCGGCCCCAAAACTGCTCCATCCAGTGAGCAGCGGCCCGACGCTCATGCATGTTTGCCCCCTGCCCTGACAAACCAATCGCACGAACGCTGTGGCGGTGTCTGAATCCCCGCGGCACATCACACGCGGGAGCGGGAGCCACCAACGCTCGCTGTCACGATCCTGCCTTTCCTCCCAGCTGCTCTTCGCCCTGTGACCCCCGCCCCGCCTGTCCAAAAGTTGACAAGAGGCAGCAGGAAGGGGAGAGCAGAGGCACCAGGCAGAGCTGGGGAAAGAGCATGAGCAAGGGATGCGAGCCTGCCGGCGGCAGGGGCAGGTGTCGTTCATGTCTGCACACGAGCGAGGGGAGCCCCTTGACGGCAGGTGAGGGTGCCACCCGGGCGGTGGGGAGGGTATCGCGGGCGCAGGACAGTTGGCACGCGCCGCCGCCGGCCCGATCTCTGTCCACTGATTCTCACCCCCCCCCTTCCACCAGGTCAGGACTGGACCTGGTTGGAGGCGTCCGGCACGGGTCCCACGTCCTGGATGATCTCGCGGTGTGTGGACCAGACCAGCTTGATGGCCTCGGGCGTGCCGATGCCCGCGCCGCGCGGGTCGTTGGCTGGGCCGAACCAGTGATTCTGGGGCGCCCCCGTGGTGCGCCCGCGGATGCCGGCGTAGGTGGTGCCGTTGACGGTGTTCGCCAGCACGTGCTGGAGGAAGGGGATGGAGTTGGACACCACGGCGGCGGTGAGGTGCGCGTCCATGCGCTCGCAGGCGGCCAGCACGTCGGGCAGGCTGGCGTCGCCGTAGCGCGTCAGCACCTGGAAGGGGCCGAACACCTCGCGCGTGACCGTGGGCCAGTGCTCGGGGCGCAGCACCTGGTCCAGCGGCACGAACACCGCGGTGGGCTGGATGGCGGCGTAGCGCGGCGGGATGGCGTGCCCGGTCAGCGCCTCCCCGCCCCAGGCCAGGCGCGCGCCCGGGATGGCCAGCAGGTCTGCCACGTGGGCCTGGATGGCCTCCGTGGTCCAGCTCAGCACGGGCCCCACGGTGAGGTCCTCCAGCCCGCGCGTCGCGGCGCGCGCGGCTAGCGCGGCCTCCAGCCCCGCCTCGGCCCAGGCGTCGTGCATGAACAGGATGCTCTGCGCGCTGCACTTCTGCCCGCTGCACGCGTACGCGTCTTGGTCGCACTGCCAGGCCACGTGGTCGAAGGCCTGCACGTCTGGGCCCAGGATCTTCCAGTCGAAACCCGCGTCCTCCAGGAACACCTTGCCCCGCAGGTCCACCGCCAGCTTCTCCGCCACGCGCTTGGACCCCGTGAACAGCGTGCTGCGCGGCTCGCCGCGCAGCAGGATCTCGTTCACCGTCGAGCCTCGGCCATGCACCAGGTCCAGGTCCGCGCGTGGCATGCCGCAGGCGTGCAGCAGGCGCACAAACTCCTCCAGCACCACCGCCACCCTGGCCGGGCCAGGGGGTTGGGGTGTTTGAGTGCGCGCGTGTGTGCGTTTTGATGAAGGCCACCCTTGTCGGCCAGGAAACGGTACTGCGCTGGTAGGGCGATCACACCACCAACCCCGGACGTCGCCTGCCAGGCGCTGCCGGGCCTCCGCCGCACGGAAGCCCTTCATCGCCTCCTGTACCCCAGCCATGGGAACCTGTTGCATCCCCCCCCCCCAAAAGAAAAAAACACAACAGCCCAGTCTTCTCACTTGTGGTCGGCATGGACCAGGGGCTTGTTGCCCATGAACAGCGCGCCCATGAGCTGGAGGGCAGGGATCTCCAGGGGGAAGTTGAACGGGGCGATGAGTGCCACGGGCCCGAAGGGCCAGCGGTAGCCGTTGCTCTGCTGGCCGGGGTGGTCGCCGGGCACGCCGAAGGAACGGGCCAGGAAGCGGACCTGGTCGCCCGAGAAGTTCTCCAGGAAGATGCGCGTGACCGACACCTCCGCCTCTGCCTGAGGGTAGGACTTGGGCGCCACGCGCTGGATCAGGCGCGCAAAGTGGTCTGCCACCTCGGGCTTGAGCAGCTCCGCGGCGGCGTTGCGGGACACGTTGCCGTACAGGAGGTACCTGCGGAGGCGGTGGGATGGTGGAGATAGGCATTTGTTTGCGTGCAGTGTGTGCATGTGTGCATGTCTGATAGGGGGGGGGGGCATGCTGACGTGCAACATGAGCAGGCCTACGCTGGTGTTGCAGAAGTATTCCAGCGGCCCGGCGGCGGCATACAACCGTGCGGCCATGGTGGTATCAAATCCATGGGACTGTCGACCCCACAGCATCTCAACGCTGCACATACCAAGCTAGCTCCAGGCCTCCCACACGATCTCCATGCCCCCTCGCCCCCTGTTCCCACCTCTCCGGCAGCTTGAGGGGGTTGTGCAGGCCCGACTTGGGCACGCTGCGCAGGCTGTCGATGAAGGGCTGGATTTCGTCCAGCTGGGTGTCGGGGACGGCGAGGAAGGGCTCGCCATTCATGGGGTCCACCACCGACAGGGACTGGGCCGTCTGGGTCCACTCGCCAGCCACTGGGGGGAGGGGACGGTAGGGTGTTCGGACAGAGGATCTGGAGCTGTGTGCTTCAGTGACAGTGCACACACATGTGGTGTGCCTGCGGGCAAGGCAGCCCCTGACACTCCGGCACGTTTTCCACGCACCCAGGTTGCTCAGAGCAGCCGGGCTGGATCCGGAAAGCTGTGCGGGGTCCACGCGCGACCATTCCGAGAGCTCTGCCAGTGCGGGGGCGGCGGCATGGAGGCCACGGCACCCCAGGCGTCCACTGGAGGCCCTCAGGACATGGGAGAGCATTGTCTGACTAGGCGGTTTCCCGGGACCTGCGCCACTGCTGGTCAGGGAGGGGCTCGCGCCGATACAGGGAGGGGTAGAGGTTCTAGATGTTATGTGTTCAATATCAAAATCAACCAAGCCTGGATCAATGCGAGACGAATGGGTCCAGGCCCGTAAATCAGGCAGGGACAGAACGGTCCATGCGCGCGGCACATGCGGGGAGGAAAGCGTGATTCACCCGGGGAAGCCTTACGTGACCGCTTTCACATTTTGCCAGAACGTCCGTGAGTGTGTCGAAGCCGGGCGGCACCACACACGTGATAAGGTCTGCCGGCAAGGAAGCGTTACATCCCAATATCGCCATGCATTATTCTGGAACACAATGCGCCGCGGGTGCCTTTTCTGAGGAAGGCGTCTGACTCTGTACAGGCTCCTAGGGCCGTTTCAGGATAAGGACTCTAGTCGTTTGCGGTCCGTTCCTGGAGTTTATCTGGGCTGTGAACACTGTCTTGCGAGGGCGGACACCGTCACAACCAAGTTCGCTCCTCCTGGAGGCCCACTCCACCCCTACGCTCAGCCCTAGACACGGTCGGGGGGGTAATGACAGGAGAGACGCTCGTCCTGTTGGATGGCCATGGGTCCGGCACCCCCCGCAAGAGCGGAGACTGTACCGTTGATGCGAGCTATGGTGCGTTCATGGAGAGGTGTGGCGCTTTCTCTCGGAATGGCTGAGATGGAAGGTGATGGGGCCAAGGATCACATTGGAGGTGTGTGTTGACGGTGGCCCTCCCTCTTCTTGCCGTCCCCGACCACAGGCCCCTCCCAGCAGCACCTGCACCTGGACGGACCGATGCAATGGGATGAGATGGAGCTGCACCTCGCCCTGGACGAGCTGGTGAAGGCCGAGAGCTGCCCCTCGCCGGGCCCCGCGCCCAGCGCGGTGCCTGCCGCCCACCCGGTCCTGGGCTCCGGGGGCGCGCCCAATGCACTGGACCCGGGCCCCAAGCTGCAACACGCGGCCCCCGGCTACCCGCCGCCCACCCCCGGCCTCTCCTCCGCCACCTGGGACGAGCAGTCGGTGGACGAGTCCGGCGGCGGGCGGGGGAAGGCGCGGCGCGGCCCCCGCCCGCGCATGTTCAAGAAGAACACCTGCCAGGCGGACAACTGCACCGCCGACCTGGGGGCCTGCTCCTTCTACTACCAGCGCAACCACATCTGCCCCGCACACCTGAAGGCCGGGGCCTACGCCGTGCGCGGCGTGTCCACCCGCTTCTGCCAGCGCTGCGGCGTGGGCCACCCGGTGGAGGACTTCTCCGGGGCTAAGCGTTCCTGCAAGAAGGCGCTGGATCGGCACAACCAGCGCCGACGCGAGAAGCAGGGCGGCAGCGAGGGCGGCCAGACGGGCGAGGACACCGGCGGCCCTAGCCAGTCGCGCGCGACGCCCCACGCCTCCCACGCCAACCTAGCCGCCTGCTCCGCCATGCACCCCGCGCCGCCGGCGTGCCAGCCGGACGCCGGCGCGGACTGGGAGGCTAGCAGCCGGTTCGGAGGCGGCGCCTACGCTGCCGCGCAGCCCTGGAACCTGCCCCCGGACCTCCTGCCCCTGCTGGGCATGAGCCCGCCGGAGGGCGCCGTGTACGGCGGGGCGGGGCCGGGCGCGGCGGCCCCGGCGCAGGGAACGAGCGCCGGCGAGGTCGCGCACCTGCAGCACTGGCTGGCGGCCGGACAGGGCTGGGGGGAGTTCCCGCAGCAGGCGGCGCAGCAGGCGTGGCAGCAGCCCCAGGATGCCAGCGGCGAGAGCGGGGCGTTCATGCACTCGGCGGCGCCCCCGCCCGCCCCGTCCAGCCTGTACGCGGCGCTGGGCGAGCCGAGCCTCAGTGTGGGCAGCGTGGCCATGCCCACCCTGGACCCGGGCATGCTGTCCATGGCGCCCATGCCCCCCGAGCAGCTGTCCTGGCTCAGCTCGCAGCTCTGAGACGGGTACATCGACGGCAGCTGTGGGGATGGAGGGCACCTCGTGCGCTCCCCACCCACCCACCCACCCATCGGCACTGCATGGCCAGCCACCCATGGCCTGTGCATCCAGCTGCCCTCCACCCAGTCCGACTGCAGTACAGGGCGAGGGCTCCCATTGTTGATGAGCCTCCATGCAGCTTCACCCCCGTTCCTGACCGCCCTCGCGAGAGGGCGCTCACCACTCGGCCCATCTGTTGCTTGCAGCTGTGCTGGCCTTGTGCACTACATGCCGCTGGCCAGCGATTCCCGGGCATTTTACTGCCGGGTTGCCCGTGCCCTGCAATCTGCCAGCCCCAGGACCCGCCTCGTCCAAGGCACTTGTCAGTTCCCTGCACTTGTTTCACTCCGTACTACGTAGACAGTACTGTACACACAGCCCTCAATTCGAATGTCAGTCACTTATGGGTGCACAGTCGACGAGGTGGCAAAGAGGTGCATGGGTGATTTTCAGGCGATGCCAGGTCGTGTGGACAAACCGACCGTGCGATAGCACCTTGCCAGACTGTTGAGTAACGAAACGACTGCCACCTCATCGCCAAGCTCAGCTGGCTCCGCGGCTGGGCACACCCCATCATCCCGCCTGCTCACATTCCTCCCTCACCAGCCTCGCCCACGCTGGCCACCACACAGCTCCGCATCACCGCTCCCAGCGCGCCGCGTCGGGCGTCATCCAGGCGAACTCGTACTCGAAGCGCCGGGGCTGGCCCTCGTGCGGCGTGGCGTGCGCCAGCGAGGCATTCACCCGCCCCCAGTCAAAGGGCGGGAGGGCGGGCGTGGCGGTGGGCCCGTTCACCGCCTGGGCCTCACGCCGCAACGCCGCAGCCCAGCGCGTGACTTTGGTGTCGATGCAGCCGTAGGCGGCGGGTTGGCCGGCGCCGGCGTCGCCGCGGCCGCAGATGGCGCCCAGCGCCGAGCCGCCGCCCAGCGGGTCGTGCGGCCAGCGGTTGGCGCGCAGCAGCGCGCGCAGCGTGGCCAGGTCGCGCACGCCGCTCGCGTCGCGGCGGAAGATGGCGGCGCGCGGCGCGCGGTGGTAGGACAGAGCGGCGGCGGCGGCGGCCCAGGCCGGCCCGCGCGCCGCCAGCGCGGCGGCCGCCGCCGCGTATCCGCTGGCGGCGTAGACCCCGGGGTCGGCGGGGATGTTGTAGGAAGGCCAGTAGCCGCGCTCCAGATGGGGCGTGCCGTCCCAGACCGCGACGCGGCCGGGGATCTGCTCCACGATGGTGAGCAGGCCGGGGGTCAGGTCGGCGCCGGGGGCGAAGCGGCCCAGGTCCGCCACCATCCACTGGTTGTTGCCGGTGCCGGAGTTGTGCGCCGCGACGGCCGCCGCCCAGGCCGGGCCGTCGCGCGCCGTCCAGCAGGCCACGCGCTCGCGCTGCCAGCTGGGCAGGCTGTGGGGGTGCACGTCGTGGAACAGCGACTCGTTCAGCACACGGTTGGTGGTCTGCAGCACCGCCAGGCCTGTGTTTGTGAGGTAGAAGTCGTCGTCGGAGGAGAGCTCGCCGGGGTAGGAGGAGAAGCTGAGGGCGGTGCCGGGCAGGTCCGGGTCGGAGAGGGCACAGCGGTAGTGCTTGTACACCCGCACCATGCCTCCATACGTGAACCTGTGAGGGTGGAGTGTGGGGCGGGGGAGGGCGGGTGGTGGGCATCGTGGCGCTCGTCGGTATGTGAGCGGCAGGATGTGAGGTACACGGCATCACTCCCACCCCTCCTCCATGCAGTGCTGTCCCTTCAACCCCGTTCCTGCCCCGCAGTCGCCCTCCACCAAGTCGGACATGGAGGCATGCAATTCCCCCCACTCACCAGGCGGAGTGGCCCAGGAGGAGGTCGGAGAGGTCCGGGGTCACGCTCACCAGCGCGCTGCAGCGCCCGCCCTGCGTCAGCTCGCGCACGACCTCCTGGGGTCCCATGCCGGCCCAGGGCGCGAGCAGGTCCCCCTGAGCGGTCGCTGTTTTCAGACTCTGTCTCACAGCGATGGCGCGCCGGATGTCGCCCAGGTCGCCGACGGAGCTGGTCTCCAGGAAGGCGACCAGGCCCAGGTCGCGCAGGGCGTCACCCTCCGTGCGCCGGCGCGCCGCGTAGCCCAGCACCATGCCCTCCAGCTGCGCCAGGGTCAGGCCCACGGCGCGCCAGGCCGGCGAGGAGGGGCCCCGTTCTGTCGCTTGACTCCGGGACCATGCGTGCTGCTCCAGCAGCCAGTCGCGCTGGGCCTGGCTGGTGTTGAAAGTGCTCACCACGTTGTTGTAGTGCTGCGATCCGGGATATGTGTTAAGGGGGGGGGGGGGAGGGAGGAGTGGCATGGATAGGGTGCGGCGAGGCAGCGTGCTGGGGCAGGTGGGCACTGCACTGGCTGCATGGATTGGGGCCACGGCCCTGATGCCAGGCAGGCACACAGCCAGCAGCACCCTCGACCTGTCAACCCTTCAGGACAGCCTTATCAACGCCAGCGCCTCACCGTCTGGATCTCGCGGGCGGTGAAGTAGCCCTCTAGGAAGCCGGCGGCGCGGAGCTGGGTCAGATCGTCGGTGGTGTTGAAGGTATGGACGCTAAACTGGGACCAGCCGTGGCGGGTGTGCTTGCCGCGCTGGAAGGAGGCATGCGCCACGGCCCCTGCTGAGGTGGAGGGTGGGAGTCGAAGCAGAGATTCCACCGCTCGGGGGGATGCTTGGCGATGCGAAATGTAGCAATAGCAATCCACAATGCAACCATTTCCCTACCTTTGCATTCGGTGGCGCTGAATACGATGGCATCAGGGCCATTGGCAATTACGGCGCACCCCTCGTGGACGGGAACATGGCGATGTGGAGCAGATCGGCGCGTCGCGTGCAGGAACGGCTGGTGTGGCTGCGCAGCTCCGAGAGCCTGTTGCCAGTACCCCGCCACCAACAGGCACGCAAGCCACCAGGCAGCGCGCTTCGACATGTCGTGCCCTTTCCAAGATTTTCTAATATTGTATCACCACATGCAATATTGCTATGTCTTCTCACGTTTCAGTCTTTCGACGGATCATTGTCGGAACTCTGATGTCGGCACGTGACGGATTGTAAGCAGACAGGAGTGCCTCCCACCCTGGGCTGTAAGGTCAGCCAAATGTCCATCTTGAGGTCGCTCCTGTTGCATTTGCTTGTAGACATCCATGTTTCATGGGCTCAAGCTTGGCCCTTGGTGTTTCGAGGTGGGTTGGTTTTCGAACCCTGCCCATGTATTTGGTTGCCAGATGGATTCATAACCACTATTGAGGCCGTCCTGAAACCCAGCTCTATTTCAGAGATCGCACAAGAGGGATTAAAGTGGCTGCAGTTAATTGTCACATCCTCCTCCATACTCTGCTCCAGTTGGCATTGCCATCCTGGCTGGGGAAGAATCATCAGCTTCCATCTCAGCCTCGCGCCAAAAACAGCAAACTCTCGGGAATTGTTCAGGTCCCTTTCCATTCACACCGTGCACGTAATTTGTCGAGCTTGTGATTGCTTTTAATAAACCGCTTGTTGAATTCTCTCACGCACTGACGCGGTGAGTTTGAGGGCTTTCTTATCCTTACCGTCAAAGCGATCTGCGGACGGGTCAGCTTCATCCCTCTACTCCCCTTGAGCCATTCAAATCTTGCTTCGCGCAGTAGAGTCGGCTCGGTCTTCCACCAGCGCCCGGAGCTGAAGATGATGGCCAAGCGCACGCTAGCGGGCTTGGTCCTGCTGGTCATCGCGGGTACGTCCTGGTGTCGAACGATACCCCTGTACCGTGTCGGCTGTCATCGACGCTCCGGGCCGACGTGCTTCCTCCATCCATGCACTGCAGGCTCCACAATGGGCCTGCCGCTGGCTCAGCGCCAGACTGCGCTTCGCGGGCAGGACGCTCCCGCCTGCGAGCTGTGCGAGGGTTTGGTGGTCAGTCTGTCCGCCTACCTGTCCGACCCCAAGACTCAGGCCTATGTCCAGGAGCTCCTTGTGGGAGCCATGTGCGAAGGCCTCCCCGACGCCTTCCACGACACCTGTGTGCAGGTACTGATGGGGGAGGTCTGCGTGTGTAGGGATTCTTTAAGGTCCTGTGCTGCAGGATGGTGTATCTGCAGGCCCCCATCCAGCCCCCTCCCGGCTCCCCCCAGTCTCAATTACAAGGCCCCTCCACCCCTTCCCCACAGGAGCTGGCTGCTGTGTACAGGCAGGTAGTGGCCACGGTGGTGGCGGCCCTGGACCCCCACGATGTGTGCACCCTTGCCGGGGTCTGCGTCGGCACCGTGGCCGGGGTCAACTCCGCCAATGGACCCTTTGACTGCCCGATGTGCCGCATGGTGGCCCTCACCCTGCTTCAGCGCTTCAAGGACCCCAAGGTCCGCAGCGAGATGCACACCGGCTTCCTGCAGGCCTGCAACGACCTGGAGCCGGCCAAACGGGTGCGGCGGACCTCGGGGGCTCTGATGATTGCTTTTGGATCATTGGGGGATGATGACGATACATCAGAAGATCCAAGAGCACGAAACCATGGAACTGGATGTTCCTTTGCCGGGTGCATCCTATCATTCGCCTGCCTGGCCGGCGAGAAGTCCGACTCCATCCATCCCGCCTCCTTGAATCGCCCTTGTGCAGCCCAAGTGCGTCACGGACGTCGATGCCCTGTTCCAGGCGGTGGAAAACATCATGGACGACCTGGACCCCGACATGGCCTGCGAGGTGGCCCAGTTCTGCCCCCGCCCCGCGCTCGGCGCCGGCACCGGGGCCGCCAGGCTTGCGGTCCCTGCCGCCGTCCCCGCCATGCGTGCGCTCTTCCACAGCCTGGTGGAGCAGCGGCCGGCGCGCGTGGGCGACAAGGAGTCGTGCGACAACTGCAAGGTCGTGGTCCTCCAGGCCGTCGCCATCATCCAGGTCGGCGCAGAGGCTGTGAATGGGGCGGTAGGAGGGGTGAAGTGTAGGGGCTTCAAGATGAGAATGTGGGGGGTTGAGGGGGGGGGCCAGTGGGCAGGCATGTGTCTGGTGGTGTGATCGGGTTGGCATGACAAGCGACTGCATGTGCATGTGTACCGGAGTATAGGATATAGAGCCTCTCGAGCCACTGCCTCAAGTACGGGCCCTGTCCTTCCGATTGCACAAGCCAGCCAAAGTATGCGCCTGCTGGGTGGACTCACCCCCCTTGCAACCATCGAAACTCCAACTCTCCTTCCGTCACAGAACCCCAAGACTCAGGCGGACATCATCGAGTACGCCAAGGAGAGCTGCAGCATGTTCCCCGACTGGCAGGATTCCTGCGAGGCGTACGTCACGCTCTACGGCCCCATCGCCATCAACATGCTGGTCACCTACCTCCAGCCCCAGACGGTGTGCTCGGAGCTGGGCTACTGCCCCCCACTCAGCCTCGCCTGAGCGCGGGAGCGACGTGCCATGGCTGGGAGGGGTCGCAAACCTGCTGCACCCAGCATCACAAGTGGGTGCCGGCAGCTGTCCCCCAGGATTCACACCCCTCCCTCGGGCTGGCAAACAGCCTTCCCTGCTTTGTTTGGCGTCTGTATACTACACCAGCCCTGTATCCTCTGCCCTGTCGATCATGGTGTCACGTGTGCATCATCTCAGTCTAGGGATTCGAATGCACATCCTTTGGGTCGTCCCCGGTGCAGTGGACGACTTGTTTGCTTTCACCGCTCCCGGCAAACGCAACGGGGCGCGACGGAACGCACGTTCTCAGACAAAGAACCCGGCAAATTTTTAGCAACAGCTATCTGAATTGCCCCATTCAGCACGATCCCGAAATTGCAAGTGGTCGTGGTGAGCACTGGCGTCCCGTCGTCGTGCAGCACGTGGAGCATTTGTGCAGACCGTGGGCCGTCCGCATGTCGCCCATGGGATGAATGCAAGCTACGAATTGCATTTCCCGATGTGACACGGGTGGGCGCGAGCCGGAGCAGGTTGTCCAGTCGTCAAGGTAAGCGTGCCATGTTGGACTGGGGTGTAACAGGGGAGCACCTTGTGTCCTCCAACACCCCCTCGCAATGCCAACCGACCTCTCACAGCGAAGAAGAGGAGTACGACAGCGAGGAGGAGCGGTTCAGGGCGCGACAGGCAGCTGCATCCCGCGCTACTCGCATTGGTGCACAAGCCCAGATGGAGAGGGAGCGCCTGGGGGCTTTCAGGGAGAGGCAGCGCCTCGAGAGGGAGGCCGGCGTCCCTGGAGCCACATCGGGCCGGGCCTGGGCTGATGCGGCAGCCAGTGGGACGCTGCAGGAGGACAGGCACACAGCACCTGCGCCGGCCCCATCTGATGCCTTGTTGACCCGCCTCCGCTCCGACATAGCAAAGTAGGTGCAGGGAGGTTCTAGGATTGCATGCTCGGGGCCATGTCTGGCGGTCCTGCTGCCTGGTGTAGCCTTCCCCTTCTCTCCAGGGGCTGCGTGGCAACAGCATGCGTCTGATGAACCTCCCCCACACCCACCCTCTCGCCCCTCAATCGCCAGGTGGGACCGGCTGTATGGCGCGGAGGGGTCGCCGCCTGACGCAGCGCGGCCCGTGCCCAGCTCCCACATCCCCTGGCTCCCCTGCGACGCGGAGCGGTACCTGCAGTACCTTGCTCTGGTGCTGGAGCGCAGGGCACCCGGTCCTCCACCCGCCCCAACATGCAAGAGATCCGGACACGACAGGGCGCTGCGCCGCGCCTACGCGCGCGCCTGCCTGTGGTGGCACCCCGACAAGTTCGCGCAGCGCGTGGGCTGGCGGCTGGCGGCGGCCGAGCGCGAGGCCGTGCTGGCCAGGGTGCAGGACACCTTCCAGGCCGTCAGCGGGGCGTGGGCTGGCGCGGGGCTGAGGGACCTGCGGGGCGAGGAGGCGTGACGCCTGGGGTCGCCGCGGGCTTGCGCTCTGGGCTCGTGCGTTTAAAGGTCTTGGTCAGCCAGCGCTGGGGCACCGGCAGTCTGTCAGGCAACACAAGTCGAGTTCTTGCCTTCCAACACTTGTAAGGCAGGGGCAACGAAGGGCGAGCAGTATGTGGACAGAGTGCCCTGGGGAAAGCAGGCGGGCAGCACATCCCAAGCTGGTTCCCTCTGGTCAGGAACCCCAAGGGTGCGCTCGTGGAATCACTCCGCTCGACACGGCTGCGCCTGTGGCCCCCTCCCTCATCTGCTGGGAGCTGTGGCGCCCGCTCCGTGCCCCACTCAGGCGCCGCGCCGTGCGATGAGCGACTGGCCCCTGCCCGGCAGGCAGTGGTTGGTCTCGTACTCAGTGGAGGGCGAGGGCTGGCCCACGTCCAGCTCCAGGCCCAGCTCGGCCTCCCGGGATGCGCTGGGGCGGGGGCCCGTGGGATCCGTCCCCGGCGGCCCCAAATCTTCCCGCAGCAGCATGCAGGGCATGGACAGCGCGCGGTGCTTCCTCATCTCCCAGGCGGCGGGGTCTGGTGGGGGCCCACCCCCCGTCGAAGCGTGGCCGCCCTTGCCGTCCACGCGAACAACACCCTTGCCGTCCACGCGCAGCGCGGCACGCGCCCAGAGCCAGCGCCCGCGCAGGCCCTGCCTCCAGCGTGGCAGCGTGGCCAGGAGGAGCAGCAAGAACGCCGAGATGCCTCCCAGGGCCCAGGCGTGCCGGGGCCGCAGGGCGCGCCCCCCGGCCGACGCGCCCGCCAGGCGCAGCGCGGTGGGCGCGCGGACGAGGGCCACGCCCAGCGGCCAGCCCGCGCCATCCCTGCCCACGTGCACGGCGCGGTCCTCCAGGCCCAGGCCGCGGCGCAGGAGGGCGCGGACGTAGGGCGCGCGGAAGCAGTAGTGCTCCACCAGCAGCTCGTCGGCGTGGCGCGCCGCGGAGGCGCGCCACGGCGTGGCACAGAAGGCGCGCCCTGCGCCCTCCAGCGCGGCCGGGCCTTCCTCCACGCCCAGACCGAAGAAATGGTGAACGACGTAGAAGCCGGACAGCGCGACAAACTCCTGGCCGGCGCGCGGGCGGGGCTGGGGCGAGCCCAGCGCGCATGGCGGCGCGGCGCAGGAGGACGCGTTGCCGCGCGTCGCGACCCCCGCCGCCAGCCGCACGCAGGCCGGCCAGTCGGGGGCGCCCAGCAGTCGCAGCGCGCGCGTCGGCACGCCCGGCTCGCGGTGGGCCACTGGCCGCGGCGACGCGTACCCGGCCGGCAGGCAGGGGTGGAGGACCTCCACGGCCGACGCGGCCTCGCTGTCGAGCGTCGAGGCGCCGGTGCTGGTCGAGGCGCCGGTGCTGGTCGAGGCGCCGTCGCCGCGCTGGGCCAGCCGCCGCCGCGCGCCGCCGCCGGCCCCGTCCCCAGGCCGCCCCTCCCGTCTCGCAAGCCCGGACTGCGCGCCGGCCCCGGGGGCCGTGCGGTTCAACAAGAGCGAGGCTTGCGGACTGGGCGGCAGGGGGGCGCCGGATCGCTCCCGTGCGCCTGCACCGGCCGCCGCCGCCGCGGCGGCGGCGCCCTGCTGCGCCAGCAGCGCCGAGACCGAGCGTGAGAAGGCGTCGTTCAGGCCAAAGCCGTGGTGCACGTGGCAGAAGAGGGAGTAGGACCGGCCCAGCACCTGGATCGCCACGCGGCTGGGTGGGGGCATGGCCTCCGGCTCAGCCTCGAAGCAGACCTCCAGGGAGGAGCCGCCCAGGTCCAGGGAGCCCAGCGTGGGCAGCGTGGCGCTGTGCGCCAGGCGCTGCTCCTCATAGTTGAGCGCCACCCAGCCGTACACGCCCTCCTCCTGCCCGGAGATGGTGGAGGCCCAGCCGGGCTGGAAGAGGAAGCCCGACACGGCCAGCACGCGCCGCGCATCGCCCAGCAGCGCGGCCTGGTCGGCCTCCGCCAGCCGCCGCACGCCGGCGGTGCCTGCGAGGAAGAGCGGCGTGGCGCCGCGCGCGCGGGCGGGGACCACCGCCTCCGCCCAGGCCAGCAGCGGGCCCAGCGCGGCGGCGGCCAGCCCCGCCGGGTCCCCCAGCCACGCGTCCAGCGCCGGCTCCGTCTCGACGCGCTGGTAGGCGCGGCGCGCGGCCTTGGCCCGGCGCGGCACCAGCGCGGCCGCCGCGGAGGGCGGGATGGCGCGCACGCGCGGCGCCGAGGCGGCGCCGGGCGAGGCGCGCCACTCGTACGCGTGCAGGCGGGTGCCGGAGGACCCGGCGTCGATCACCAGCACGTAGCGCGGCGCAGGTGGGGAGCGGAGCCAGAGGAGGAGCCCGCCGCCCGCCAGCTGGGAAGGGTGCGGTGCGGAGGGAGGGGGTTGGAGCCGGGGTGGTTGGGTGGGTGGGCGGACAGCCGCTGAACATGAAACAGGTCCCCAATGGCCATGCGCTCGCTCTCACCAGCAGGGCCAGCAGTCCCAGGAGCAGGACTCTAGGGAAGCTCCGTGGAGCGGGAGCTGCGCCGGCCAGGCCCATCTGCTCGGAGGCGTCGGAGTGCAGCCAGGGGGTCTTACATGCAACCACCACCGAACTCGGGCACCTTCCCATGCGCATACGCCATGCACAGCTCACCTGGGAGGGCGCTTTCCTCAACCTTGGAGCCTTGGGTCCTGGGCTCGCGCTCCACATGGCCTCGGGGTGGGACCCCGCGTGGACACGCGAGAGAACTCACATGCGCCTGCTCGTCCGCATTCCCTCAGCACGGCATACTGTACATTCAGGTGATAAACTCCTAACAAACCTAAAGGATAGCCAATTGGTACAGTGTTCGTCACGGGTGCCCCAACTGCGGAAGTATGCAGGGAGAGTGTCGAGGATGTTTGGCGCGCGGAGGAGCGTGGGTTTAAACCAATCTGCTGACTTCAAAATGTTAACATCTGCCGTCAACGAGGAACGCGCGCGTGCGGTTGAGCAGCAGCAATCAATCCTCAACATAAAGCAGTGGAACCTACCTCCGGCGTTTCAAACGCCCTCATTGCGTTGTCGCGGGCCGTCATCCCCGACCTTGCTAATTCCGGGCAGGGTGGGCGAATGGCGACAGCAGCACTTGAGAGGCATGCGAATCAATCGACGCTGGATGCTGATGATACGATGACTCCAAACGATGCCGAGAACCCTCACAACGAGGCGGCGATGGACAAGAGCGCAGGGCAGGACCTCCAGAGTCTTTTCGCCGAAGGCATCGCCTGCATCGCGACCCAAAAGTGCGATCTGGGAGCAGAGTGCGCATTGTCTGTGGAATCCAATCGCTCCGTATATGCACGCATAATGAATGTAGCTAAGTAAGGAAGGGCGAGAGGACCGTACAACTGGACATTTGGGGCACTGATGCGCCACTTTCCCACCTGTGCCTTGCAGGAATGACAACCTCTTTCAAGACTTGGAGACCCGGACGCTCACCACTAGAGAGCAGGATATCATAAGCCAGAGGGTGGGTGAAAACGGCCTTGCATTGTTGCCTTGTCTTTGGGGTGGCTGTGCAGAGCTGCACTTGGCACCTGATCTTGCCCCAGGAGGATGCACCATTACTACCTCGTCACAGGTTGCTCTCCAGAGGCGGCTCTTTGAGGAGTACGAAAAGCGTGAGATGGTTCGCAAGATCCAGGAACTGAGAGAGGTGTGCCCTCAGATCAGCGAGGCTGCCGCGGCTAGGGCTCTAGAGCTCTGCAATGGCAGGTGTGGCAAAAGTGGACAAGATCATGGTACCAGCTCATGCGGAATCAATTCTGATGGCTGCCATCACAGACCCCATCCCTTGTGCTCCCCATCTTTCCCACCTTCACTCACTCACCCCCCCTCATTACGCAGCGAGGATGAAGCGGCAGCAGAGCTCGTGGGCAACCCCGCCTTTAGGAGTCGAGTGATGGGTCCCGCGCACGGAAACTCTGCTCCCAGCACAGCAGGCCAGAAGAGCCAACAGCCCTGGGCAGCCAAACCAGATCCTGCTGTGCGGCCAAAGCTTGTAGATCCAGGCTCCCTCAACCACTCGGTGGGTGGGGCATGGTGGCGCAAGACCATACGCAGAACACAAGCCTGCTGAGGAGGGAATGGCCTCCTCGCGGTGAGGAATCTTGTCTGCTAAGCAACTTCCTTGTAATGACCAAGGACTGTGTTCGTCATGCCTTCCCCACCTACTAGGTAAGGGATCTTCTGGTCACCGATGCGCTATCCTATGTCCTCCTCTGCAGGTTTTCGTGGGAGCATTCCGGGGCAAGGGCTACCCATCGGCCGGGCCTGGATGCAAAACGACGCTGAGCACGCTCTGGGCTCGCTCACTTGCAGCGACGGTCCCCAGCACCGGCGACGTCTCTGATCCAGAGGGAAACCGGGGCGCTTTGCAGGACGGGTCTGCAGCCGGGGAGGATGCTGCAGACAGCGACGCCACCGTCAGTGACGGGGAGGGTGAGGCCACGGCCGTCCCGGCCACAGACGGCAGCACGGCACTGGATGCCGGGAACATCACCCCCATGCCCCAAGCACCAGGTCAGTTTATTTGGGGCGGAGGGGGAGATCCTTGGTGTTTGCCAGGGTTGGACTTGATAACGGCGATCCGCGTTGCGTCTCGACGGCCTTGAGTCCCCAGATGGCCCATCACCATCCGCCTCCTGTCGCCCACCCAGCAGCCCACGACGCTGGAGCGAGCGGAAACCTGGTTGACGAGGGAGCCGACGGCGCACTGCGGTACCGGCTGGCCGTGGAGAGCCACGGCAAGCTGAGGGCTGCCCGAGACTCCGAGCTGAAGGCGGCCCGGCATGGTTCGTCGGGTGTGAGCCAGTGCGATGCGGTGCAGAGCGGCCCAGAGCCCATGCCGAGTCCAGTACAAGAAGTTGCAGAGCGTCGTGACTCAGGGCTGGCGCGGGAACCAAGTCCCGCAGCGTCGCGGGACGCCGGCGGCGCGGCTGGCGCGGCCGGCGACGGCCCCGAGGCGGCGCCACGGCGCTCGCCGCGGCGGTGTCGGGCGGCCAAGGCGGCGGCCCTGGCCGTCTTCCTCGCGGACGGCAGCGACGAGGAGTTCTGGGGCCAGGAGGGCGCAGGGCGAGGGAGTGGTCGAGGCGCAGGCGCTCGTCCAGAGGCAGTGGGGCGGGGCGGGCGGCGGCGCAGGCCCGACGCCGCGGGCGAGAGCGAGGCGCAGTCCTCTGCCCCGCCCAGCCCCGCACGAAAGCGGACGCGGGGTGCGGGGGAGGCAGGATCGGGCGAGGCGGGCGACTCTGGAATGCCGCCCTCCACCGGACCACCGCCGCCGTCGAGCAGCGAGGCGGAGGGGGAGCGGGGCGCCGACAGCGAGACCACGCTG